CCTGTCTCTTATACACATCTAGATGTGTATAAGAGACAGGTGCAGCGATAGGTAGTGGCAGCTAGCGCTGCCATAGCTGTAGCCTAGCATGTGTGGTGTGTGAAGTATGATACTGAGTGTTGCGTGTGGGACATCCAGGGTGATCCAGAGTGTGAACAGTGAGTTGTGTGGGCGCCCAGTCGCCATAGCCAGTTGAAGAGAACTCATATCTGGTTACGATATCTTGAGTATTGTGTGGGCGCATGTCGCCAGTTGCTGTTTCGCTGTTTGCATACATGACAAGTGTGAAGAAGTCGAGTATGATTGCAGTCAGGCGTAATTTAAAATAAATTAAAATAATTGATGGTGTTGACTGGTTGATAACCACTTGGCAGGGATGATATTTCAAGTTCAAGGTCAAACCCAGTTGTGGCAGGCTGAACGAATGGAGCTGGCGGATCGCGCAGCCGCTCTGACTGCTGGGGCAGATGATAAAGTGTATGCATGTACAGTGGACACTGTTTACGCTTATTCCTCAGACGGGACTGTGTCCTGGACAGTCCCTTTGCGAGAACAATCTTACTGTCAACCCACTATTGCCCCAATCATAGCCAGCTCTGGCGAGGTTGATCTCACCTCCCTCCCTCCCCATCTCTCTCTCTCTCTCTCTCTCTCTCTCTCTCTCTCTCTCTCTCTCTCTCTCTCTCTCTCTCTCTCCGGGGTTAATATTAAAAGGAAATTGGTGGTTGCTGGCGGATTGGAGAATCCATGTCATTTTATTTATGTGTGGAAAGAATATGTGGATGTCCTGTAGAAAGGAAACATAGGGCTGGCTCCGGCGAGGCCACTAAACAACACTGTACAATGAGTCTATATGCATTTGGACGCTTTTTGGACCCTGCACATTCAAAATGTTAGACGCGTCCAAATGCACCTGGTCCAGAAAGTGTCCAAATGCATGTAGAGTGTTATGTACTGAAGGGAGGCCCATAGATAGATCTCCAAAGCAACAAATTTCTTTGTTCATTCCGCCCATGGGAGAGTCTGCTCTATTCACTGCGCATGTGGAAGACTGAATCCGACTTCACCATTTCACTTTCCGGAAGCATCCACCGCAATGGCGATGACAAGTTCATGCTCCAAATGGGCAAGGGCTTCCCACACTCAGCAACAAGACTATAGACGGCAAGGGGGAGAGAGAGAGAGAGAGAGAGAGGATGCCCAGGGTGGCCCCTTGAATTTGTTGTTCTACTGTCAATTACCACAGTACCATCCTACTGTGGGGCGAACCCCCAAGCTTGTTCTCCATAACTCTCCTTACTTCTTGAATCCTGCAGTCCATGGAGTCGATCACACTATCAAGTAAGCATTGTGCTTTTTTGCCCAGAAGACCAATAACTGTCAAGTTTGACCCTGGTCTTCATCCAGCAAATAGAGCACCCTGTAATTACAGCAGTATCTGGGGCAACCTTCAGTCTAGATACAGCAATAATGACCAGGCATTGTATTCGGGTTAACACGGTTGCACCTTGAATAGCTCTTTCGATGCTGAACCCTAACCTGGTAGCAATAGCTCTTTCGGTGCTTGTCCCAAACCCAGTATCAATAGCTATTCGGAGCTGGACCCGAACTCAGCAGTACCAATAGCTATCGCTGCTGGAACCAAGGACCCAAATCCAGTACCAACAGCTATTTGGTGCTCGACCCAAACCCGGTACCAATTACGGCTACCGTCTTCACCCAAATAGAACGCCCGGTCATTATAGCTGTATTTGGTGCAACTTTCAGTCCAGATACAGTGATAATCATCGGGCGTTCTATTCGGGTGAAGGCGGTAGTCGGTGCTGAAACCAAGGATCTATTCAGTTCTGAGCTGACCTCGGAAACTCGCGGACAAATGTCAGGGCTTACCTCACACTAGGACCTTTTGCTCTAAGCTGTGGCCGCAATTGCAGTCAGATTCATCTGGGTCTGGCTGTAAATGCAGTCAGATACATTTAGAAAAGTCCTCATGTGAGTATGCCCTCCATCTCGATACACACAAGCACGCACACACACACACACACACACACACACCAGGCCTGTTGCCATTACTTTAACAACAATGGCGCACCCCGGAGGACTTGAGGCAACAGCTACCAAGACTTTATCATGCAGTAAAAGAAGGAAGGATGGACTACAAAAGACTCTTGAAAGCTATCCCCAGCCACTGGGGGAGGATGCTCCTGTGCAGGGATGAAGAACACACCATGAACACTTGGGTGTTCTCAGCACATGGGGAGAACAGAGTGTTGAAAATACTGGGCCCTGATCTGCAAGCGGGAATGAGGGCAGAGAAGTGGATAGTGGGAAAAAAGGGTCTAAATGGTAAAACCTCCTTGAAGTGGGAGTGCGAAGCTGCAATCCAAACCACAGTGGGGAGATGACAGAAGCTCGGGTGCTGGAACATGATAATAACCTCTCCAACCAGAAGTTTACACTGATGCAAGAAGAAACAACCGCGCGCGACCGCTGCCGCGGGGGATTCATTGAGGTTGACCCACTGTTGTTTGGGTGGAGGCCGGAGGAGGAGAATGAAAAATTGCACCCCTCGGTCTATACTCGACAAAAGTGGGAGGGGCCACAACGCGAAGAGAAGTTATAAAGATGACACTACTAGTGGTGGCAGACCGTAAGATTTGAAAGAACTCAGGGAACTACTGCTCCAAAGAGTGACTTCATTCTACTCTGGCGGCTTCTGAAGAAGCTACCTGCACAGCATCAGCCCACAGTCTCCTGTGGACGCAGACTTTGTCGGTCACAACTTGTGACCGCCTATTGGCTACATAAAAGAGGGATGATGGATCTGAACCTGACCTGCACAAGGTGCGACTGGGGACGAGAATCCACAGAGCATCTGTGGCTTTATTATTGCCCTCTTGCAGACAAACTCTCTCTGGGAATGGTGGAAGCATCATTGGCAAAGATGGGCAGACTCTGAGGCCAAGTGGGACTGGTCAGACAGGACTGGGACCACTGGATACTGTTCAACATACCACGGCAGGGAAGCAACCAGAAGCAGGGAAGGGCCGACGCCGCTCTGGTTTGTAAAAGCGTAGTAGTGCAGGAAGTGTTGTGGAAATCAAGGAACTGTAAAGTTTTTACTATTTTTTAGAAAAGAAGCTTGAACTGCCATTTCATCAAAGTGGACATTTGTGCGAGGATCTGGGTCCTCGGCGGGCCTAAGGGGCCCCTGCTGCAAATGTGCCCGCCCTAAGTGAAGGCGGGCCTAACAAATCCCGAGAGGCCCTAAGCTATCAAATTCGTATTTGGGGTCCAGGCAGTTTCGTCGCGCCAGTTGGTTGAGGAAACACAGGCCGAGAAGCAAGGAAATTCCACGGCCTTCCAGGCTCTTCCGAGAGCACAAGCCCTGGACGAGATTCGCAGCCTCATACAGAGAGTTGGGAGGCCCAACCCAATGAGGCCCAGTAGCTGCACGAGAGGTGCAGCATCCTGGGGCCTACAGGAAGCTTCTGGGCCCAGGCCCAGGCCAGCCAGGCTGCGAAGGCAGGCCAGCTCTTTCCATATAGGAAAGAGCTCACTGCCCGGCCAGGCATTCGGGCACTCGCATGCTGGCGGCAGCGCTGCTGGAGCTGAAGCTCGTGGGCTGCTGCTAGCGCTGAGAGGCGAGGTGCTAGCACGTGCGGTCGTGCAGGGAGCAGGGCACTGCTGAGGGCAGCGCCATAGCCCAGACTCCATAGCTGGCAGGCTTGGATGTACAGTGAGGCGCAGGGGTGGTCTTCGGGTGTACAATGGGAAGACGTGGGAAGACGAGGGAGAGAGAGAGAAGGATGATGATGATGATGATGATGATGATGATGATGATGATGTGAGGGCACATACCTGGTATTGGCGATGGTCTGCATGGGCGACATCTTCAAGTACTTCGGAGGCTGCTGACGTCAACAGTTGCATTGTCAATTAGTAGGTTAGTAGTAGCTGTGTAGGGAGTAGGCTGGGCGCCGAGCGCCAAGTAGGGAGATAGGGACTGGATACATATGTTGGTGGTGGCCAGAGCAAGCTCTCATTGACATTGGTTTTCAGTGCTACGATTCTCCATTGGTGTCGTATTGGTGCAATCCTGCTTTCTGAACACTGTGATACGAACTGGCTTTCAATGTGATTGTGCAATCTGAATATTGTCATCTCGTTTCTGTTCATTTTCCTTGCAATTTGGTATCGGAGCTGGTTCGAACTGCGCTCATTGGTTCTTCGCAATAGCTGTTCGGTGCTTCGCATGAGGTGTGGGGCAGTGATAAGGCTTGGGCGATTGGATGTAAGGCGGCCCAGGGTCGTGTGGGCGCGCCAGGAAGCTATGTGGTGACATTAGGGGTGTACGCTGGATGATGAGAGCTCGCTAATGTGGCATTTAGGCCGAGGTGGAACTGCATTCTACTGTTGGTTGTGCCGAGGCAAAGACCGGTCATCATAAATGCACATCAGGTTGCCGGTGAGAAATCTGTGGTTGGGGGCAGCATTATGAGGTATGTTGCTTCCTTCCTTATCTACCCTCTTCATTGCTTCTTACCGTGAGGAAGTGAGTCTTGTCTTGAGAGTCCTCTCGATGTGAGGTGTCGCGAGCGTGAGGCCTGGTAGAGAGATCTGGGGATGCTTTGGGGTGGGCATTCCACGGGACAACCAAGGGTTGCTGCCGGGACGACGCTGGTCGGAGCTGGGGTGAGTTGTGTCGCCCTGTAACCCAGCAGGATGTGGGGGTGTGAGGCCCGGAAGAGCTCGGCAGGGAGTAAGATAGTGTTGGAGAACTTTGGAAGGGTTTGTTAGGGGTTTCGAGGGTTTTGGAGCATTTGTAGGACCTCTGCGGTCTATTCCCATGCCTGCCAAATTACTGCAAGTATTCTCAAACGTTTTTTCAGCCGAAGCCGGGTAATGGCCCCGGTATCTCAAAAAAGGAGATCGAGGTGAGTGGGAGAAGGAGATGGTGGGATATTACACGTCCTACTAGTGAGGGGGCTAGCTGGTAGGATGGGAATAGGGTACAACAGCAGTGGAGATGGTGGCTCTGCTGCAGTAAGTCTTGCCGGAGTGGGGTACAGGGGGGGGGTCTGAGTCTTTTTCTGAGTTGTGCATATGTTTTTGTTTCTCAAAAAAAGAGGTGAGTGGGGAGAAGTAGATGGTGGGATATGAAGCATCCTACTAGTGAGAGGGCTAGCTCGTAGGATGGAAATAGGGTACAGCAGCAGTGGAGATGGTGGCTCTGCTGCAGTAAGTCTTGCCGGAGTGAGGTAAAGAGGATTGATGGGGGGTTTCTGAGTCGTTGTCTGAATATTGCCTATTTCTGAATTTCGTCGTAGTAATTTTCTAAGTGGCTCAATTTTTTCTTAGCCAAAGCCGGGTAATGGCCCCGGTATCTCAAACTTTCAAAATTCTATGTAAATTTCCATATGGGACGCTGGGCCCGGTTCCCAGCACGTGCTGCTTCCCACGAATAGATTGGAGCCTTGTTCCCAAAAAAAAGAAAAGAAAGAAAAAAAAGAAAAAAAAAAGAAAAAAAAGAGGTGTCGCGAGCGCTCAACCTTGAGAGTCGACATTCTTCCTGGGCAGCAAGCTGGTGGGAGAAGGGCGATG